GGCTAAAGTAAGATACGAGGGGCAGAGAGCGAAAGAGGACGCAAAACGGTCGTTTTTATCTCGTAAGAGCCAGTCTGGATGCTGCTTACTGTACATCTTAATACGATCACCGAGCATAAAGCCACATCAAAAGTTGTACGAGGAAAATTGGTCGGAGATAATTGAATGGTTTTACGGTGGTGTGTGCGCGACCTAACGTCCGAGATGGGGGTCGTTTCCTCGCCGGAAATTTCTATGGTTACTGCAACGTCGCGCCGTGTAGTAACGGCGGAAATTTATTTGAAACGCGACGCTTAATTGTAACGGAGTAATGCGGACTTAACGAGTCGGCAGAGAACGAGTATCGTCAACATTAACAGTGATAATATAATAAATACGCAAATGCGTTCTCTCTCTCTCTCTCTCTCTCTCTCTCTCTCTCTCTCTCTCTCTTCCCCTCCCTCTCCCCTCTCCCTCTATCTCTCTCTCTCTCTCTCTCTTTCTCCCCCTCTCTCTTGAAGTAGAATGTGAAATGTTTCGTATCGACACATGTGACACTGTGTTCGTATCCCGCATTTTATAAAATTATTAAACGATCAATTTCCATTAACGTTTAATGAGTTCGATATTCTTGTATTTTCCCGTGCGATTAAAGGTCTCTAAAATACGCGCAAGGAATTAAAGCACATCAACCGGCTCTCAGTAATTCAAAATAATTTATAACCGGCAAAATCCTTTTTGCCTTTGAACACAGCCCCTCGCGTTACATACAGTGTTCAAGTATAGCTGTTGCACTAACAACGAACACACGATCGTGGTTAAGCATGTAATACTAATTAAATATTCTCTTTCCATTCGTACTTTGCATAAGGATGACTAAGTCAGTTATCGGAAAGGGAATAGATAACAATGATCAACAGAGGCGATCTCACTAAATAATGCCAAATTAACCGCCGTATTTCGTGGAAAATTTCCCAATTTCAACTCGCCACCGTCAATTAGCATTCGCGAGCATTAAATGAGTTGGATGTTCTACCTTCGTCTACGTTACTGTCCATAACCCAACCTAGAAATTTTGATCAGATATGCCTGATATTGTACCAGGACTCAACTGGATAAATATAAGATAATCCCAAGCATAAGAGTATAGTGAGAATTGAATAAGGAAAACTTTTGTTAGGTCCACATTAGGGTTCTACTGTATTAATTCTCCGACTAAAGAAGTTTTAATCAGATAAGTCTGTTATTGTACAAGGACCTAACTGAATAAATATAAGATAATCCCAAGTACAGTACATCTGATGAGATAATAATTGAATAGGGAAGACTTCTGTAAGGTTATGATATAATTAAACTCATCATAGGAGTCCATATTAAGGAGATAATATATTAACTTAGTGTATTATCTTATAAAGTTATATTGGTCTTTTTCGGGATTTTATTCATTCTCTCTATTACGACTTGTCTTATCAATATTCAATATGATCTATTTGTGACTAATCGTACATATAACAGATGCGTGTGTGTGTGTGTGAGAGATATATAAAAATTATTTTCTCCCCTTAATTTCAAATGTTACCAAAAGTTTTTACAAATCGCTAAGTTATCAGGAATTGTAAATATAAGCTTGAGTATACTATCAGAGTTCATTAGCATCATCAATTCTGGTTCGAACTTGAGATGAAGCAACTTTAAGGTCGTAGTAAATAAAGATATGGATGACCGTCCATGAGACAGTATATATAAATAGAAGAATAATATTTAATATTTAAATAGAAGAATTGCGGGAGAGAATACGATAAAAGTGTCACATTAGTATTAAAATGAGAGATTTTCTTGAAATTATTAAACAATATGATTATGTTTCTTTTTATTTCTTATACAAAATAATTTTTTTTCTATGTGACGAAGATTTGATGTGAATCTAACGACATAAATCCTTGAAAAATTCCTGATTAATGTGTTATATGACTTGTTAGAATCCGATATATTATCTTATACAAAGCTGATAACTGATTAGGATGAACTTTACCAAGATTATAGGATAAATTTCTAATCGGATCACTGTTGTCATCAATTAATACCATGGACCAATTTAATCGATTATCTGATAGGTATAAAGTGATATTATTTGGTCCTAATTAATATTCGTCATTATTAATACTTTTTAAGTCCGATTACTGCGCTGCGTTTTATGACTTATCAGGATTTGATGACATCACCTTATACAAAAACCAGATTGGGATCAACTTGACCAAGATTGTGGGATAAATTTCTTGTCAAGGAAATATGTTTTAACTCGCACGCGTTCGTCCGTCCATTTGACAAAAGTAGCAAAGCAGATCAATAATAAAGAATAATAAGAGGCATTAATAAATGGCGACATTTACACCGTCGTGTTCAGTCGATGCAGCCGGCTAAAGCAACTCGAGATCAGCCATATCCGATTAAAAACTTTCCAGCTTTGCGTAACCTCGCGAGCCATCGATAGCAACAACGCGAGTAGCGAGAAGGGGTTTAATTAACACGGAGATCAGGTCGGGCAGTCGAATTGGAAATTACTGCACGGAGTCGTGGGTAAGGTTAATCCCCGGAAAGCCTCGATTCCCCCTCGCGGTAGTGAGGGGCGGTGAAATAGAGAGAGAGAGAGAGAGTGAGAGAGAATGAAAAGAGACAGAAGAGCTACCTCGTTTTATCGAAGCGACTCCAACAATTCGAGACACTTCGAGTTTATAGGTGCGTTTCGATTGTCGAAGCGACGGCCACCTAATTCGTACCTAAGCACTAAAGGCTGCCACTACTTTAAATATGTAACAGATCCGCTCTCTCACACGCGCCGAGCGCTCGCGGAAACACGGATGAGCCCGCGTACGTGCTGATACTTTCGAGGAAGCCGTCGAGAGCGCGATATGACGGCGCGAATGTTCGCCGCAAGTTGAAGATTTATGAGCTCGATGGTCTACGTGGCAACATCAAGCTGATTGATATGGACCAACGTCTGATTTTATTTTTATACGTCAGATAGAGTGGCGCTCCGAACGCGTTTCGCGTGGAATTTCTCTGAGCGGGGATTTGAGGAAACGTAGACGCGATGGAAAGTACAGGAGAACGCGGTTTGTGCAAATTGCATCGCGACCTAGCAGTTACTTCTCGAATCAAAAAGCTCTTACAGTTACATGGTTTATTAATAACTACGCTTCAATGAACGTAAATGCAGCACGGAAATTTCATCGGTGTCTTTCAATCTTCTATCTAAAGTACAAACAGAGTATATTCCTCACTGAAATGCTGTACTTATAACTGGTGGTTCAGTTATAGGTATAGCATTGCAATCAGTAAAATCTCTCTGAAAGGATCAGTTCACAGTAGCGACTGTTTCTATTATTGACGCAGTTTGCAAACGCGGACAGTGACGTCGGATATAAAGCGCACGGAAAATCGTTAATTCCTTCACCACAAACGCAGAAAGTTGGATTTGATAGAGCCTATAACAAATTTGTAAATTACAGATTTTGCAGCGAGATTTTACGCCCACTAGTCAAAATCGATGAAATATAAGACGGAGCAGTAAAGTAAGAGCGAAAATCAATGTTTCTATATTTTTGTACGTATAGAATCCAAAAATAAACTTAAAGTTTTTCCACCACCCAAAGTCTCTTTGTGACAAAAAACTATTTTCTCTCTTATAGGCCAGCATTATCGGTAAAATACTCCTTTTACTAATTTAAAGATAAATATTTGTCATAATTCACTTTAAGAAAGCTCGTTACATATGAAACGCCGTTTCATAATATCTTGCACGACGACAATGTTTGCTCTCTTTAAAGTAGTCCAATCTTAGGGTTGACAGACGCTCTTGAAGAATTTTTAACTAGATATACCGCAAAGCTTGCCATAGCGCGAAGCTCGTTGTGAGACTTTAAACTGTGAGATGACACTTTACGCGCGTGCGCACGCACGCACGCACGCAAGCACGTCGTTCAAAAATATTGAGCGCACGATAAAAGCGCAGCGCGACCCAAATGTTGGATAACATCAAAATTTCCGGATTAAATTTATCGCCGAAGGATTGAAGTTTGATGCTCGGCAGACGCTACACAATTATTAAAGAACACTTTTTGTTGCAGCGTGTTATTGACGTGAAACAGAGATTTTAGATCGCCTGAAGAATAATGTCTCAAATTTTCCGAAAATGTGAACTTTCATACCAGGTCACATTATATTATTGTTCGTTTAATATAGCGCAGAGAAGAATGTTATAAGAACAAATAAGACATGATATATTCGAGAGTACTACACAAAAAAGTTGTCGAAAAATTGTTAGTTATCTGCATACAGAAATGTACATACTGCTCTCTAAATTTCTTGACATGAAAAGTGACAGTACACTGAGAGAAAAATATAGCTGCTTTTGGCGCCAACTATACTTTTTTGTGATCTTAACCAGAAAAGTAATTAAAGAACCACCTTTCTATTAACACTTACTAAAACAATAGTTTTCCTAATTATTTTTATGGTTAAAATCACAAAAGAGTATAGTTGACGCCGAAAGCAACTATATTTTCCTCTCAGTATATTTTTAACTCGAAACCACAATTAAACCACATTCAAATATTATTATCACCCCGGAGTTGAAAGTTATTTGCAATATCCAACGATTTTTTTTTTTTTTTTTGGCTATGTTTCTCTTTCTTAAGTTATATATACCCGAGGAAAATATATTATAGTAGAAACTATAAAATAATTTTAATACAATCTTAGGCCATACACATATAGAAATTATGACCGCGCAAAATTATTATATATATATATATATATATATATATATATATATTTACTACAATATTTTCTATCTTGAAAGCCATTATAATCGATATCATAATTTTCAGCTCACAAAACATTTCGAATGAACGCTATTACTGAGTTTCTTTTTTAAAGCGTAGAGCAATATGTGCAAATTACCTTCCAACTAGCAAGAAATCTCTCAGACACTCGACGTAGGATCTTTTTTTATGTTTTAGCGGGTCAGCATGAGCAGGGAAGGGTTTTAGCAACGGGCGGACGCGAAACTAAGAACGCATGCCTAAATCAGCCTGGGAAGCGGATAACTTGCTGGTAAGCGGCTAACGGGTCACTTCTAGGGGATAATAGGTAAGTTCAGAAACGTATAAGCGCCTGGAGTATCCGCACTGCGGAAGAACTCGGCGGGATTTAAATATCACTCGAAACGGGAGAATAACCGTCCTAATGAGAAATCTTCCGCGCCAGTTACGACAGGTTAAAAAATTTCACGGCGTGCGCGTCTGCCGAGCTCGCTCGCAAGCGCGGCTAATTAATTATCGACCGGCAAATCGTCCCGTCACGGTCTCAACGGTAGAAGCTGCCTCGTCGATTTCGAAAGAAAGCCGTCATTACGAAGCTCGTGTTCGCGTGCACGCACTGAGAGAAAAAGTTTTGCTAATTCAACAAAATACTAGTACCAAATGATGTGTTGATATGAGACAGCAAACGATCCCGTAATGAACACAAGTGGTATGTTATTTTCAATTTGCTGCTCTACAATACTTCTATAATGGAAACAGATATTACAGAGATATACAGCTCCTCGATTAATCCATCTAACCATGAATTTGATTTGCTGACCATATTGACTATTAGCAAAGGTTAAAAGTGACGTTTCAGCAAATCAGTTATATGAACAAAGAATTTAAATGTTTCAATAAATTTTTAAATTAGACTCCACCACTTCAAATAATTTTAACAAAAGCGGCATAGCTGAGACACGAGCCATCTAAATTTCTTTAGCTGAGATTCCAACCAAATTATTTTAAATCTGTGCTAAATTAATCAAGAATGGTTCGAATCTCGGACAAACCAAGAAATCCGGCAATTTTAATTAAAATTTTAACAAAATCGACATAGCTGAGACACGAACCATTCTAAATTTCTTTAGCCGAGATTCCAACTGAAATATTTCAAATCTGTGCTTAATTAGTAAAATGGTTCAAATCTCCATCAAATCGAGAAATTATTTGTATAAATAATTTTTTTTTCAACTTTTTACATGTTTTGTTTAAACATTTTCTTATTTGTACAAATAATTTTACACGTTTTACTTCATATTCATAATCAGCAAACCAAGAACGTCTATATCTTGTATTCAATTTTATTTCTTATGCATTTGTTATATACTTGTTGATGATAGAAGTGAGAACATTAAAAAGCTGTAAACTGCCCATGAAACTCAAAGTAGGTCAAAATGAAAAAATATGATCTAAATATTTTTTATACTTCTATATATTTTTTGTGCTAAATTAAAAAGAAGTCGGAGTGTACCTTTTGGATAGGTTTACTTGTTAGCAACACGAGCTCAAGACGCACGGACTATCGCGGCGTGTGAGTTTCATTTGTTTTCAAACAAACCGTTTCTGCTATTACGTTCGTTTGTCGTTATATTTATTGATATTACGTGTATTATAAGTTGTACTTACAATGAATTTTTTCCAATAAATAGACGAGAACACAAATGTGATTTATACCAATGTGTGTTTGCTAGAATGATGAGAAATGATTTGCAACGGTAACTATTCGATTTAATATTCCCTAACAATAGTCAAATAGCAAACATACTTTTATCCTGATGGATTTAACCGAGGGATTTTTCTTAGTACGTGGGCGGAATGTAATTTCAAAAGTTTAATAAAGCGGGACAGTGTGCACTCGGGAAGCACTCGCAATTTGCGAGTTCGATGTATCGCTGCTGGTCATATCGGAAGGGTCTCGTTTGTAGCGAGCGTGTGTGTATCGTGAGGCACGCTCGCTCGTTCCCGTCGTATTAATGGCGTATTCATGCATTACAGAGTGCCCTAATATAGTCTACGGAATGTGGATCTATAGACGCCTATCTTTACCGCTAATTAAGGCGCAGCGCCGAGAATAGGCATCCATACGATATCTTTCAGTTTCTCCATTAACATGCTGAGTGTCATAATAGCGCTACCAGTGATCGGCGCAGTCATATTATGGCCTTTCACCAATTTATATAGAAAATTTAACCAGCTATATATAATAAATTAAACATAGCAGATTAAGTATAGCAGATATATAGCAGGAATAATGATCAAATCTTTAAAATAATTTTCGTTATGAAATATGAATATCCGAAAATAGGATCGAATTTACGTCCAAGAGTTCCGTCTAAAATACAATTTGGGTGAACGTTTCTCTGTTACCTTAGTAACTTGCACAAAAATTTACAAATTTTCTTCCAACTTCTAAAAGTCGCCGTCCAAATGCTGGGTCTAGCGTAGTGTGAGTGGCTAGGACGCTTTCTCGCGCATGCGCAGTGGATCTATCCATAACACTTTGGGAAATATTGCTGTAATTAAAAATTTGTTGCTGTAACCAAAACTTTTGCTACTTTTGTGACTATATCGGTTTCGTAGTTAAATATACGCCTGCTAATATCTACGCTTTTAGATATCCATATATTGCAACGAGATTTAGCTACTGTACACAGATTCTTGCCGCTTTACTCTTTCTCTTCACTTATCATCCAGTACTTTCATTTATCTGATCTTTACGTTTCTAGAAATTTGGTTTTCTGTGCACATACAGAGGCATGGTTCAATTAATTTAAAATATAAAGGTTAATGATTTGCTACGGTGATTGTTTGATTTGTTTCCTTAGCAAACATCAAATAGTAAACGTACTTTTGTTCTGATAACTAAGAGACCTTTCTCAATGTGAGTGAATAATATAAATTATTCGTGTATAGGTGTAATAAAACTATTATTCACTCTCGAAGGATATTTTCGGGAATACCGAGGACAATCGATATTTTGTCAGTTAGCCAATTTTAACACGCGCGCGTAAACGCTGCACAAGCACCCCGCCGCAATTCGACACATATGCCAGAGTAAATTTTGCCTGTAGTAGCCGATACGCGATCGTTTCGCGATCGCAGACACACACATATACACACACACATGCGCACACATTCTGCGCACGCTCGCGGAGGGATGAAAGCGATGCTCGCAGCGTCGGCGATAAAGAGCGAAGGGTTGGAAAAGGGGGGCCAACTTCGCAGACAGTTTAAAGCCCACGCGGAAATCCGCCCACTCCACTCTGCGTGCGATTCCGAGTGGTATACTACTTGACCGTTGGAGTGGCGCTGAATATCTTCGATATATTCGCGCGGAAAGTTCGGCGCTCTCCGCGTGTTGCTGCTCCAGGGAGCTCACGTGTTATCCGTTACGATGGCAGACGAACGCTTGCGGTCCTGAGGGCCCTTAATAGGCAGGCACGAACAATAACTGAAACGAGGGGTGAAAGCGCACCGCGTATCGTGAATATATCCGATATATTTGGCGGAAAATGGAAGATATGTCGGCTGTTAATGGAAATGGAAAACTTACTTTTCTGCCGTAATTAGTTTGAGAATGAATCGTCGTGAAGGAAGAAACAAAAAAATTCTCTGTAAAATTGCAAAAATCTCAACTGGAAAAAATATGACACTACTAATAATAAGAAATAAAAAGCTATTAATACATTCACGCTAGTGAATGTATTAATAAAACAGTCGATGGAATAACTGTAGATTTAATAATTAGAATGTGTATCCCACAAATATGAATAAAATGAAAAGAACGATAAAAATTCATTACACTCGAAAAATCTTTTGCTGGTCCAGGTTTACATAATTGGATATTTGTAGCCACTGATTAAAATATAATCACAGACACATACACACACGCTATATGTGTCGCATAAGTGCTTTAATTTCCAGCCTGATATTCAATACAACACGGAGAATATTTTTGTTTTGTCAGACCAAAATTATATAGAACGATTCAAAAACAACTTTTAGTCATTGAAATGTCATGTATTCGTGAACGAATTCTAAAACAATTTTTCCTTTTACAAAATATTATCCGAAGCAGCCTAATGTTTCCGAGCTATGAAAATAAATTATTTATTTATTTTCACGCGATTTATACAACATATTTTCACTACAAAATAGCATTCACGATTCTGCGTAAGAATCGTTATTTCGTTCGTCGCACTCGTCGGTTTCTTTGTTCGTGGTCGCTCTGAAATATCTTCCGCTTTCTCTTTGTATTCGCATGGATCGTTCTTCGACTATTTATGACTCGATCTCACTGTGGAGTTAAATCAAGTGATCAACCGATCAATTGTACCGCGTTTGAGTGGATTATGTGAAAACCGAGTATACCGCACATATTTAATATGCTCACAGAATTAATGTGGTCCCGCCAAATGAAATTTCGCTCAAGTACAGTCAATGCTCGACTCCAATAATACTACGAAGGTACGCGGATCAAATAGAAATTTTAGTGGCTTTCGATTCAGTGAGCTCATGCTTTTCGATCCTCGCCGTAGGAAATGCGATTTATCAGTTTCCATCGGTATACAGAGATTAATCTACAGATTCTTCGGCCAACTTTGGGTTGAGAGTTTACTTTGTTGAAAATCTGATTAGCCTCGATTTTTATTATAACTGTATCGTCCTAAGAATTGTATTTTCTCCAACTATTTCGCTCCTTTCGTTTCGCCAGGTCAGAAAAATTTACTTGTGTACTCATCGTGTTTACACGAAGAAGCTTTCTTTGGATTCAGAATCCTTATTTGTTTGACTTGGACTTTTCTTGCTCAAACAACTAATATTATATCAAAAACATAATTTTATATCAAATATTATTTTATTTTATTACTATAAACTATAAATTATATTATTTAATGGAAAAAACACTATTATCTCAAAAAAATTTTTTATCTAAATTATGAATATATATATAATAATTTTTTTTATATATATAATTTATTATATTTTAAGTTTCCAATTCTTGTACGACCCGTTGTTTACAATCGTAGAGAAGCGTCTTGATAACTCCGGAACACTCGGTACAAGACTCATTATCGCGCACAATTGCGCTTTTGGAATTCGCAAAAATTATGATGGTCACACAGCGGCTTTGTCGTGAACGGACGACAGCGCTGATCGACGAATTGCGAGCAAATTGAGTTCGGTCGACATGTTTTTGGAGCCGATATTATTGCGCAGTGGAACCTTTTATTGTCTGCGCTAACTGCAACGGATTTCCGGCGACGAAGCGAGAGCGCCGGGTAG